TTTGAACCATGATCCTTTCTATCTCTGCCTTCTCAAGTAGCTGGGATTATAGCAGTGAGCAGCAGGCTGGCTCATAAGCATTAGTTTTAAATGACTCACTTTTCTGTGAGTATTTACAGTGTGTTTTGTGTTGGTACCTGAAGTGGATTTTTTATGCTGAAAATGGTAAGATTAGTTTCTTTTCTAATTGACTGTTGATAGTCTTTATAAATTCTTTCCCCGTTGGATTGTTATATTGCTTGTACGGTACTTTTTAATCGTTGTGATATTAACCTTTTTTTTTTTGTGGTACTAAGGATTTGAATCAGGGTTCCACTGGGTTATTCTGACAGTCCTTTTCTGTGATGGGCTTTTTTTTTGAAGTAGGGTCTCGAGAACTATTTTGCTCAGGCTGTCTGTCGAACTCAGTCCTCCTGATCTCTGCCTCTGAGTACTAGGATTACAGTCAGGAGCCACCAGTGCCCAGCAATAATTAACCTGTATTATGGTTTTCCCTCTGCCTAAGTTTCTCGTAGTTTTCCCTTTTAGGACTTCAATTTTGTTATGCTTTAAAATCCTCTGTGTTAAACCTAAAATTATTTGGTATTCATTTTTATAGTTAACGTATAGCCAGCCAGTCAGCTGCTTCCTCTCTCCCCCTCCCTTCCTTCTCCTTTCCTCCTTCTGTCCTCCCTCCCTGTCTCTTCTGATCTCCACCTCTGCCTGCCGAGTGCTGGGATTATAAGCAGTGAACTACCATACTTGATTCTTAACCATTTTTTTTCGTACATATAGACATTTGTGCTTTGTGGAATATGGCCTTCCTTGTCACGAATTGAAAGAGCAATTTTCTCATATACTGAATATTCATATCTCCTGGGTCCAATCTTTAATTGCTGTGGCTATTCAAAAGTGTTTAGGGCACACGTGAATCTGGGACTTAAAAGCCTCCCAATTCTGTGCCACTTCACAAGGCTTCACAACCTTGTGCTGGCTGGGATTTGCTCGCTTTCTCCTCACCCTTCCCTTCTTTCATGCTGGAGATGCACCCAGGGCGCTGGCACATTCCAGGCAAGTGCTCTCCCACTGAGCTACATCCTACATCTGCTGAGTACAGCCCCTAGCACTGACCTCTCAATAGGTGTTGCTGTCCTTGTTTTTTTATTTATTCATGTTTTTAGTGGCCTCACACTTGCTAGGCAAGGCGCTTTGCCCTTGAGCCACTCATTATTTGGGGAAGGGAGGCTTTCCTTTGAAATCAGCTCTTTGAGCATTTCTTCCTCTGCTCCCTTGGTCACTCCTTCTCTTAAAGCCTGACTGATGTGGACTGGAGCCTGATGTCTGCTAACCCTGCCTCAGAGGGACAGTCAGTGTTCAGGGTAGCTGTGTTTTCCTGGTCTTTATCACTCCCAGAGTGGAATGTGAATTCTCTCTCTGTCTGTCTTGTAGTGAAGCAGAAAGGTCGGCTTCCCTTCCTGTAGGAAAGCTGTGCTCTTCCCCACTTGCTTGCCAGGATCTGTAACTGAGTCTAGTCCAGGGGGACACACTAGTAGAAAACCACGGTGCTCCTTGATCCAGGTAAAATTCTTAAACTTTTAACAAGTAGATACAAAAATCCCTTCTCACCCAGGGCAGTATGTTCCAGGATCCCCTGTGGATAACCTCATAGTTCTGAAATATAGAATACATGCATATTATATTTAATATATATTTGTATATGTGTATGGAAACCCTAAAACATATTTCTGTATAGATACGTAATTATGACCATTTAATTTATGAATTAGGCACAATAGGAGATTAAGGGTACTAATAAAATAGAAACAATTATAGCAATACACTGTACAACAGGTACACTAATGTCTCAAATTATCTTAATTTCCTAGTGTGCTATTTTTGGATCATGGTTAAACTGAAACCTTGGACGGTACTCCACCTGTTTGTCATTTGGTTTGAAACATAACCACTGTCTGATTTATGATTAATTAGTCCAAGTAGCTACAGTTATTATGCAGGAAAATGTTTTTCATTGACCTAACATATTTAGTAAAGAAGGTAACAACCAGAGACTCAAATGTAAATTCTGACCTTAGACAAATGTGCCTCAAGAATGGATTAAATGTTTTTTTCCTTTGGTGTGGGAATTGGACTGGTACTATACATGTTTAAACAAGTGCTGTACCCCTAGATTTTTAAGTATTTTTATCAGCATTGAAACAGTGAGATTGTGTTTGTTGTACTGCATATGGTCAGAGGAGCAGGAGTGAGGGTAAAGTGAGCAGGATGTGTAGGTAAGGGGAATTACTGCTTCCTGATGTCAGTGTTCTCTGATGACAAAGAAATGAAAAGGAGGATTGTAAGGTTAATGGTGGGCCTGTCGAAAGCTTCATGTAGTGTGGACCCTAATAAATGTCCCTTAACCCAGCACTCCAGGCTCTGTGGTCTTTATTTCCATACTGCTCTGGCCAAGAAGAATCCCCAAAGCAGTGATTTCTCCCCCTGTATACATGAAATACTCCTTAGGATACTGACTTTCACATCTAGACGTGGAAGGCAAATCTTTCCCACTTCCATCTAGCTACTTTTCTAGTTTTAACTGGACTAACAATCTGGAATTCCAAGAGATGGTTAGAAACCCAAAGAATTACAAACTCGTTCTCATGTGGAGAACATTCTGTGTAAAGGGTGTTTTCCACTTTGCCTCGTACTGTGTTTTGTATTTTGGTGAAGAGTGAGCTTTGGAAGCACATTGTTTGCCTGCAGGTTTAGTTTTCAAGTCTTTGTCATGTTGAATAGGTAATTTATGGAACAAAATTCAAAGGCCATCGAAAGGCAGGAGTCACTGAGGACCCATGGTGGCTCACTCCTATAATCCCAACTACTTGGGAGGCTGAGATCAGGAGGATTGAGTTGAAGGCCCATCCAGGCAAATAGTTTGCAAGACCTTATCTCAAGAATACCCAGAGCAAATGGACTGGAGGTGTGGCTCAAGTGGTAGAGCACCTGCTTTTCCAGTGTGAAGCCCTGAGTTCAAACCCCAGTGCCCGCTACACACACACACACACACACACACACACACACACACACACACACACACACACACACACACACACACACATCTCTCTCATTCTTTCCTACTTGCTCTAAAGGTACCTACCACTCCCAGCTTGATGCATCCTAGAGATCTGTCTGCATGGTGCCATGGACAACACGTCAGTGGCAGTATTTAACAGTCTATTTTGGCAATCTTTGCAGTTTTCAATTTTCAGTCCTGAAAATGTTTGCCAAGTTGCTCTTCTGTGGCCCTTCATGGACATTGTCTCAGTGTCTGTTCCTACCCACAGGCAATGTTGTTTTTCTGCCTACAGTCTTCCCAACTCCTTTGAGTTTTGACAGTATGAGGAAAAACTACTGTAGTTTAAAATCGCATATCTAAAAAAATAATAATAAAATTACATTTCTGTTATTTTTGTAATAACATAAGATCGAAATCGGGTACCTTCTTGAGATGAATTTAAAATATTCTTTCCAGTTTTCTTATACCATGAGAACATTTTAAAAATGTGTATCAATTTAGCAGTTGGTTCTCTTATGACTTTATGATTTCTGTCACTTAGAAAAGTCTTCCCCAGGTGGAAGTAAGAAACAGTTCTTTCTTTAAAAAAAAACCAAAAAACCATTTAAAGTGTGTCCATCTGGAATTTTAGGGGAAGGTAGGAAGTGTGCCGGTTTTCTTTGGAGATAAAAATGATGACATATACCGTATGGTCATTTGAGGGAAAGACTTGCTATGGTAAGGGGCTTCTCTGTTTTAAGGAAGGTCAGTGGCATATTTTTCACAGAACGTTCAGTTAATGCGTTTCTGTAGAAAACATGGGAGGGAAATGAGAAAATTGATGTATAAAACTCAAGAATGGGATCACGTTCCCATTTCCTGCATGGGGAACAGGAAATGCTTCTCCTGTTTTCTTGTGACACGAAGTTTCTTTCCTAATAAACTTTACTATTTTTTTTTAAAGCTGGGAATCACAGTTACACTGTGTGATTGATTACAATTGATTACGTGAGCCTTGGTTTAGAAAATACTGTGGATCACACTTGTACTGCATGACTGGTTTAAAATGCGGACATAGGTGTAGAAGGCATTCGGGGTGGCAGCTGGAAGGGGATGGGAAGCCTCGGTTTGGGACCTAGACCTCAGCCTTGCCTGACTGAGGGCGTGTGTCCCCTTGCACTTAACCACAGCGCCCTGGGCGGACCTCGGCTCTGAGCCGGAGCCCAGGCTGCAGCGCCCCCTGCGGCAGCGCCGGGCGTGGAGGGCGGCGCCAGGCAGGCGGCTGGTCCCTGTCGTGGCTTCTGCCCTTGTCCCCTTCTGTGCCAAGTCCTTTTGATCCTGAGCAGCTCGTGGAGATGCCCCTTGGCCCGACAGGCGGCGCGTGGCCTCTGACCCTGACGATTGGGCGCTGGGGGCTGTGGCGAGGAGAGGACAGGAAGGCGGGCTCCCTCCTTCCTGAGCCCTGCCATCCAGCTGGGGACCATTTTTGGGGAGAGCCCTGCACTTCCGGGTTGACTCACCCCTGCTTGTCACTCTCCTGGTTGTGTCAGTGCCTGGTCGCCGCCCTTTAAACTTTGTGCTGTTTAAACTTCGGGGGTGTGGCTTGCTTCCTCCCCCCACTTCCAGATGCACTGGAGTCATGAGCCGGGAGGGCTCAGGGACCCCCCTGCTGGCCGAGGTGATCCAAGGTAAGTGTGGGGACAGTGGTCCCAAACCTGAGCTGCTGCCCCGGGAGGAGGCCTTTGTGCTTGGGGTGGGCTGGCTGGGAACCTCCCCCCCCCTCCCAGCACTTGTGTGACTGTGACTCTTGTGTCCTTGCACCCAGCCCTGTGGGCGTCCTGTGCCTGGGGAATCAAAGGTCGCCTGTGGTTGGAAAGGAAGAAGCCTGGTCACCCGCTGGAGTGTTTGCTCCTGCAGGAAATTTTTAGCTGAGTTGAGTTGACAAGGACACAAACGCAGCAGTTGTGGGTTGAATTGCAGACAGCAGAGGAGAAAGTTTAAGTTTGGGGAAACACCTGGTCTCCTTTGTTGTCACCCCTAGCCCTGCAGACTTCACAGGCTAGCCTTGACTTTGTCGTGGTTTGAGTGTGCACAGGGTAGTCCCAGTGCTGGCTGACATTGTGATGACTTGCTCAGGGAGGGAGGATTTTCACACAACTCTTTTTTGGGGGAGGACGGGTAGAGCATCTGGCATTACTTACACTACTGTTCTTGCTAAACCTCCCAGCCGCCTACCTGCATTTGTGCAACCCGAGTTCACTCCCCTCTGGTCACGCAGAAACCTCTCCTTGTTCTGTTTTAACAGTAGTTTATCTCAGTCGCCGAAAACCCAAGCAGTGATTCCAAATTAAAAATAAATAGCAGTCCCTGGAACAGTTGGATAAACATATGTTTTGTTGTGTTGTGTAGTTGTTAAATGGTAATCGTGGAGCAATTTTGAAAAGTGTTTTTTTTTTTTCCCTTATAAAAAAGTTTCTTAGCGAAATGACTTTTTTAGGATGTATTGTAAACAACAAAACTGTCTAGAAGTTTGGCAGAAGGTTGGTGGCTGGCCACCAATGCCTGCTGCTGGTTGCTGAAATTTCTTAGTCCAGGGGAACTGCAGTTTATCGTTGAGAGTTTGCTTCAGAAACCAAACCATAGCTACCTGAAATGGGAAATGAAGCCATAGCACTGTGTGAACAGTTAAACGAAGTTTCTGCTTGCTCTTACCCACCAAGAGAGCCACCCACCCTCGCTACCATCCAGAACTTGCATGGAAGAAGTAAAGACTGGCTTCAGCTGAAAGGCCCCATGTTTTGAGATAGGGACCTTTCTGAGATTCCAGGAAAGGACCATCACCGTTTTTCCATTTCAGATCGCCTTTGTTTTGCAATTCTGTACAGCAGACCAAAGAGTGCACCCCACGAGCATTATTTCAGCATAGATAACGAGCTCGAATATGAGAAGTAAGTACTGCTTTTTACACAATTGTAGCTTTTTTTTTTTTTTTTTTTAACTTTCAGACTCTAAAGCTATGTCTGAAATAAAGTAACCTCGGAAAATTTTAAGTCTGTAGATTGCTCACAGCATTCTGGGAGAGGAAGCAGGATGCGGTTTTTAAAACCCTTGGTAATAAAATAGATCTTTAGGGGGGAAAAAAGAACCTACATGTAAGCATTTGGATTAGACGTTCTAATAGTTTGCACTGTAGTACTGCAGTGAGATCCAAACGTGTGCTAAAGATTTTGCTGGTGGGAAATCTGTGTGCAAGAATGCTTTCTTAATTAAGGTGATTAGGGCTGGACTTAGGCTTTGTACTTGTTTTTGTCTTGGGGCTGGGGCTGAGCTCTCTAGCACAGAGCCAGAGTCTCAGCCCACTCGTAGCTTGTTTAAATAAGCATTGTTTACCTGACTATTTCTCCCACTGTAGGCAGGACCTTTGAATTGTACGAGTTCTGCATATCACTTGGGTTAGCAAGTTCTTTCTTGTCATAGTTTGATCCTTGCAGACAGCCTGCAGACGGCATTTCTATTCGGTGTGTGTAGAATGTACAGACTTGTTTCATTTTTTGACTTTTCAAGCTTCTACGCAGACTTCGGACCACTCAATCTGGCAATGGTTTACAGGTACTGTTGCAAGATAAACAAGAAACTCAAGGTAAAGTCCTCTCATTTAAGATCTAGCTTCAGTTGCCCTCCCTAGTGTGGCCTTGGGGACGGACGGAAAGCATATGCTCTCTTAAAACAAATCCAGTTCACAGGGTGGGGATGGAACTCAGTCTGACTTTCAACTAGGAATCCTCCAGCCTCTGCCTCCAGAGTGCTGGGCTTACAGGGGTGTGCCACCACACCCAGCTTCTGTTTTCTAGGGTTTTGATAACACAGTTTAGTTTGGGGTCATTTGATTCTGGTTTGGATTGGTGATGTTCAAATACTTAAATAATTACAGTTGAAATTGGTAAATAAATTAAGGAAGCTGTTTATTTCCTGGCCTGATGGGAAATGAAGGGCAAAGAAGAGAAATTCTTCCCTTGCTTTGGTCATTGTCCTTCCGGCCTTCATTCGAACAAGGGAGGGCTAGGAAAACAGCAAGGAAAATGGACTCTGTTTTTCCTCCTGCATTTAAATTCCCGTATCATTGTATTGCTTGTGACTTTGACCCTTGACCTTTTAAACATGATTAGGGAGCTAGAGAAGCAAGGACCAGCAACATATAGTTCAGGCTGTATCACTGAGAGTTCAAAGTATCGGTTTGAACTTAGACTCTGTTCCTTGAATGAAATAACTTGAATTGTTGGCCAGGCATGATAAGAACTGTTTTATGTACTGCTTGTTAGCTGTTCCAAAGTAGTCATTATCAATTAACATTATCAGTTATCAAAAACACTGCATTTGGGAGCAGGAATTAAAAAAAAAAAACCAGCCACTTTCTATCTTCAGTGTTAACTTGTAGAAAGCTATTCAAAAGGAGTAAAAGTTTTTTTTTTTTTTTTTTTGTCGGTACTGGAGTTTGAACTCAGGCCTCATGCTTCTTAGGCAGGTGCTCTACCACTTGAGCCTCTCCACCAGCAAATTTTATGTTTATTTTAATTTAATGTACCAAAATTCACAACTTGTATGTAAGGGAGATTTTTTTTTTTTCCTTCCCGCTTGAGCATCTAACTGTGTAATGTACAGATTTCTATAGACGTGGAGATCCTTCCTTCTTCCGGCTATCTTAGAAAACATTTATAACCTGCTACATTAGTGTCCCCTCATCCTTTTCCACTTGCCAGTAGAGAGTCCCCTCAGGGCTAGGAGGCTAAAAGTAATTCCCACCTCCCAACTGTTGTTCCTTCGCTTTAATTTTGAGAGTTCATCTTCCTCCCCGCCCCACCAGTGCCTACCCTGCTGTGGACTGTTACCTTTTGAGTCAACTCAAAATGTGCCCCTTTTCCTCCTAAATACTGTTCTAGAACAACTTGTAGTGTGTTGACCACCGAGCTGCCTGAAGCATTGTTGTCTGTTGAGTTAAGAGTTGAGAGCTGGCGGAGTGGCTCAAGTGGTAGAGTGTCTGTCTGCCTTGCAAGCGTGAGGCCCTGAGTTCAAATCCCAGTGCTACCCAAAAACTCCCCAAAAGAGTGATAGAAAGTGCACTGAACATTGGAGCAGAATGTCTTCTGCTGCCAGATGGCTGAAGAGGTGTTTTTTTTTTTTTTTTTTTCCTGTGTTTTCTAATCAACTTGGACCTCTGACTCCATGTAAACCTCACAAAGACAGTGTGCATGCATTTATCATGGGAGCCCTGACATATGGACTGCCAGAAGCCAAGCAATACACGCTTACACAGCTGATAGATCTGGTCCCTTCCTTACCTGAATTTCCATCTCTGCATCTTAGTGAGGCACAGCTGGGGAAGTGCTAACTGATGACGTGTTCTTTTCATTTTAAATTCCATTAAATTTTTAACTTTGTGTTGAAGTACATATGTGCACAGAACTCTACAAGTCCTGAGTGCCCTGCACCATGACGTTCACAGAGGGACTCTCTATGAGGCAGCTGTGGGGGACACAGCAGCTCCCAAAAGAGGCCTCTGTGCCTTCTTCACCTATGGACTCTGCAGCCCCTTCCCAGGTTACTCTCTGTCCTCACCAACAACAGCATGGATCGTTTTTATTTTTGTTTTGTTTTTCTGAGACCAGGTCTCACTGTGTAGCCCAGGCTGGCCTTGAACTCAAGACCTTCCTGTGTCCACTTTCAGAGTGCCAGGATTATAGACGTGGGCCACTGTGCCCAGATGCAGCATGTATTATTTTTGCTCTGCTCTGTGAACCCTTTTATTTAATGGGTTTTGGAATAGACTTCTTTCAAAAACAAAAGAAAAAAGCCAACAGTAGGTAACAGAGAAGTTTCTCCCATTCCCCTTCCAGCTTCTCATATCATCTTCTTGAGATTATCATATTATTGTTGTGCTGGGCATACATCATGACATTTACAAAAGTGCTTCCAAACACATCTTAGTTAAATTCGCCCTTCCATCATTCTCCTTTATCCCCCACCCCCAATCTTCCTTCTTAGGCGGTCTGGGTCTGTGCTTTGTTGTTTTGAGCCTTGGTTTCCCACGTCACCAGTTGTGGATTTTGTCATGATGACGGTGTGGCTATATCTTACATCTCCACACAGCACTGTTGAGTGACGGGGGCACCCATGCAGAACTTCAGTCTTTGGTCATCATGTTAGGAGTTCTTGGTTTCACACCCCAGACCTCTTAGAAACGACCCAGAGGTAGCCTCCGTTAAGCTGTACTTATTCCCATCTCCTCCTCTCCTCTCTGCGTGCTTTCTAATTTTAGAATGTGTCTTTTATAGGAAGGGACCTGATTTTTTTGGGTATCAGTCTTCTCAAAGGTCCCTAATGCAAATGCTGATCTGTTGTGAGAGTTGGAACTTACTTTTATCACAAAGTAAAACTTGGGTAGACTTGAGTAGACTTGAACTTGAAAAGGAAATACTAACAACTATTTATTTTTGTGCAGTCCATTACAATGCTAAGGAAGAAAATTATTCATTTTACTGGCTCTGATCAGAGAAAACAAGCAAATGCTGCTTTCCTTGTTGGATGCTATATGGTAAGTACTGAACTAGTTTCCTAGCATGTCAGGGCTGGAATTCTGAAATCACTTTCTGAATGATAATGTCTTGGTTTGTTTCCAGAGGGAACATGCTTGGTTTTTTTTCAAAGTTGATTCAGAGCTGGGCAGATAGTGGCTCACACCTGTGATCCTTGGGAGGCTGAGATCAGGAGGATCACAGTTGGAGGCCAGCCTGGGTAAATAGTTTACAGGACCAAAATAATCAGACTGGAGGTGTGCTCAAGTGGTAGAGTGCCTGCTTGTGAGGTCAAAGCCCTGAATTCAAACCCCAGTCGTCCCCGCCCCAGTACGTTGGTTGATAACGTTGATGTGTTATGGTCTTAAGACTACCGGGTAATGCCATTATTAACTTGGGATATATTTAGTGAGTTGTAAAATCATTTTACTGGGAGTCAGGAGCAATAAAGCCCTACCAAGGTAAGAGGCAGTTTTCGTTTCTTACCTGAGGTCGTTTCTGTTCAAGGATAGGCAGGCCAGTATTGTGGGAGAATGAGTAACAGCCATGGATGCTACATATGTCAGCAGGTTCTTGTTTGGATTGTGGAAGAATGCTTTGGCATAGCCAGTATTTACATAAGAGTTAAGGATTTCATTGATTTGTAAATTATGTTAAGGGTCTTCATTATTTTTTTTGTGGTGGGTCTGGAGCATGCTGGTCAAAAAGCTCTATCGCTGAACTACCCCTCAGCCAAAGATCTTTGATTTTTTTAGAGTCAGATTTTTATCTTGCACCTAGTGTTTCATCTGAGCTCTTAGAACCAAGTTTTTCCTGAGTTAGTGTAGAACTAACTCAGAGTCGGTCCCTCATCTGTTGGATGACAGGGACACTGGCTTCTGACTCTGTTGGTGAATAGTTTCCTCTTTTCTTCCCACCCACTGTAGGCGGGGCAGATATTCTCCTACAGTTTTGTTTTGTCTTAAATCTAAGGACTGGTTTTGGAGCTGTCTAGATGAGTTCTTTCTTCTCCCCACCTCCAATTTTCTCACCCCACCTGGGGAGGGAGCAAATCCAGGGCCTCCCACAGGCTGAGCAGATCTTTACTACTGAGCTACATCCCCAGCTCAAGTCTTAACCCTCCTTGTAAAATTATTTTCTTCTATGCAGCTTGATAATCTGGAGTGTACAAAAATAATCAGGTCAGAAATTGCATCTGAAAATTGAATTTTTTTTTCTTTTTTCTTTTTTTTTCCGGTAGCACTGGGGTTTGAACTCAGGGCCTCACACTTGGTAGGCAGCCATTCTTATAGCTTGAGCCGCTCAGACAGCCCCTGAGTCTGGCCTCCAACTCAGAGCCTCCTGATGTCTGCCTCCTGATGTTTGCAGCAGCAAAACAAAAACTTTAAGAGGCATGTCTTAAGTGACAGAGTGCCTACCTAGCAAGTGAGAAGTCCTGAGTTCAAATCCCAGTATCACTGAACCCCGCCCCCCCCCCAAAAAAAAGAAAAAATCCAAACAATAAAAACTACAAGAAAATGTAGCCTGGAGAAGTGATCCTGAGAAAAGTGTAAACCACAGGCTGTAGATTACATTGATAAAAATTTGATTTCTTCAGTTGGGGTGTTGTCTTTTTTATCTCTTAGTGTTTCTTGTATTGCTAACAAAATCCTTTAAAAAGAAGAGAGCTGGGCCCTGGTTCAAAACCCATTTGTCACCCGAAAAAAGAAAGGAAGGATGGAAAGGCGAATGCTTTAATTGGGACATTTGAGGCTGTTACTTGGCCAGTCACTGAGGGGAGGAATCTTTGGAGTAAAATGAATCTTGACACCTTTACAGGAAAAGGGACACAGCCAGAATTCTTAGGGTCATGAAACATGAAATGGAACCCTGGAGAACTGGCCCTCCTTCTTTGGTAGGGGGCGGGGGGTGAGGAGTCTTGCCTTATTCTGCCCAGGAAAAAGCCTGGATGGCTGGGGCAGTTCCCTTGGTGCAGGTGAGCTCTGCAGGGTTGCTCCAGGGTGTGCCACTTGTCCCTGATCAGGTGAGAAGTCTCAAGAGCGTGGACCCAGCCATGGGGACTTCAGGGTGGAGAACCCCTCAGAAAGTAGGAGGGGGCCATAGTGGGAACGCTCGGGTTGTCTTCAAAACAAAGCAGATCATTGGATGGTTTTATGAATAAGAAATTGTTCTTGTGAAATCTTGCTGGTTTTTTTTTTTTCCTGGCTGTGCTGGGTTGAATCCAGGTTCTCGTGCACCTGCAGGAGCCACAGTGTCCCATTGCTGTTGGTTTTTAATTAATAGTGAAGAAAAATAACGTCTTGGTAGATCTCTGGACAGTTTGTTGGCATATTTTCTCAGTTTGGTGTGATTTTGACTTTGCT